ACTTAAACCATATTCTTCTACCCCCCCCCCCCTTTTCTTGCCTCTTCTCTGTACTTGTTTGATTCCTTCTCCCGCTTCCTTTTATTCGCCTCCTCTGTCCTCTGTTCCTCCTTCTTCCTCTCCTCTCCCTCTCTCTCCTCTCCTCTCTCGCTCATCTCCCACCCTCTTCCCTCTCCTTCCTTCCCTCCTTCCTTCTTTCTTCCTTCCTTCTTCCTTCTTCTTCCTTCCTCCCGTCCCTCCCCTCCTCCTCCCTCCTCCTCCTCCCTCCCTCCTCTGTCCTTTCTCTCCCTCCCTTCTCTCTCTCCTCCCTTTCTCTCCTCCCCTCTCCAACAGGACCTTCTGGAGGACCTTCTGGAGGAGTTCCTGGAGCGGCAGAAGCGGCGTCGCGCGGACTACAAGGAGATCGACCCCAAGTGCCTCAACTGGCGGCCGTACGTCCCGCCCCCGCCCTCCGAGGACCAGGCCAGCTCCAACAAGAACAAGGCGGCGGCGGCCAACAAGGCGGCGGCGGACAGGAAGAAGGCGGCGGCGGCGGCGTCCTCGCAGTAGAGGGGGGAAGGAAGGAAGGAAGAGGAGGAGGAGGAGGAAGGAAGGAAGGAAGGAAGGAAGGAAGGAAGGAAGGAAGGAAGGAAGGAAGGAAGGAAGGAAGGAAGGAAGGAAGGAAGGAAGGAAGGAAGGAAGGAAAAGGAAAGATGGAAGGATGGGAAAGAGGCTGGAGGAGGAGGAGGAAGGAAGTGGAGGAGTGGAGAGGAGAGGAAGAGGAAGGCGGAGGAGGAGGCTGGAGAGGAGGAGGAGGCAAGAGGAAGGAAAGGGAGAGGAAGGAGAGAGGAGGAAGGAAGGATGGGAAAGAGGCTGGAAGAGGGAGAGGAGAGGAGGAGGAGGAGGAGGAAGAAGGTGTTCGAGAAATAGTGAAGAAAAAGAGGGAGGAGGAAGAGAGGAAGAGAAAAAGAGAGAGGGAGAAGGAACGTTCATTCATCGTCTTTCATTCATTTCATGTTTTTTTAAAAAAGGTTTTTTTATTTATTTACTTTTTATTATCATTCCTTTGAAGGGAAAATCCTGTTTGTTTGTTTTTTTTATCTCCACAGAGCTTTCATTCACAAGTCTTTTATTGTTTGTTTTTGTTTCGCTCATTTGCGTAAACATACAGCCGCGTTCGTTCGTTTGTACGTTCGTTCACTGACTGACCAGTGATGAACGTATTTTAAACCGTATTTGAGATTTTATGCAATGTCTTTTGTGTATAATTGGGAGTGGAGTGGAGGAAGGGCCCAAGGCGAGGTCATTCCGTTGAGGTCAGGTGGGTCATTTGTGTGTGGTGTGTGTGTGTGTGTGTGTGTGTGTGTGTGTGTGTGTGTGTGTGTGTGTGTGTGTGTGTGTGTGTGTGTGTTGTGTGTGTGTGTGTGTGTGTGTGTGTGTGTGTGTGTGGTGTGTGTGCAATATTTTCAGGTGCTCCCTTTTCCTGTTCCCTTCTCTCTTCCTATACATTTTCCCTTTCTCCCCACCTCCCCTCTTCCTCCTCTCCTCTCCTCTCTCCCTCTCCCCTCCCTCCCTCCCTCTCCCTCCCCTCTCCCCTCTCCTCTCCTCTCCTCTCCTCTCCTCTCCTCTCCTCTCCTCTCCTCTCCTCTCCTCTCCTCTCCTCTCCTCTCCTCTCCTCTCCTCTCCCCTCCCCTCCTCCCTCTCCCCTCCCCTCCCTCCTCTCCCTCCCTCCTTCCCTCTCCTCCCTTCCCCTCTCCTCTTCTCCCTTCCCCTTATTCAGAGCAGCCTTCCTCGTCGATTTTCTTTCTTGTATTTTTCCTCTTTCTTTCATGTTTCCACTTCCCACGTTATTTCCTCCGAGCGGCGCTGCTGCTTTTATTTATCGTGTGTGTTTTTCTTCCTTTCCGGTTTTTTATTTTTAGCTCGCAGTATTTTTTAAATGTTTTTTTTTTCTTTTGCCTTTCTCATGCCCTCAAGCTGGAGAGAGGGAGAGTGTGAGAGTGAGAATGAAAGTGTGAGTGGGTGAGAGTGAGAGAGTGAAAGTGAGAGTGAAAGTGTAAGTGAAAGTGTAAGTGTGAGTGAGAATGAAAGTGTGAGTGTTTATGTGAGAATGAGAGTGAGTGTGTGTGTGTGTGTGTGTGTGTGTGTGTGTGTGTGTGTGTGTGTGTGTGTGTGTGTGTGTGTGTGTGTGTGTGTTGTGTGTGTGTGTGTGTGTGTGTGTGTGTGTGTGTGTGTGATCCGTGATGCATGCACTCCTGTGAGAACACGACGTCTACCTCTCCCCCCCTCATCCTTTCCCTTCTTCTTTTCTCCCCTCCCTCTCCTTCTTTTCTCTACCTTTTCTCTTCATCTCTCTTCTCCCTCTCCCTGCTTCAAGCAGGTAAGCAGTCTAAGCGGGAGGAATAAGCAGGCACTCTACTCATATTATTTACTCTTTTTGCCTCTTCTTCTTCCTCCCTTCCTTTCTTCTTCTTCTCTTCTTCTTCTTCTTCTTCTTCTTCTCTTCTTTTCTTCTTCTTCCTCCTCTCCTCCTTTCTTTCTTCTTCTTTCTTCTTCTTTCTTCTTCTTCTTCTTCTTTCTTCTTCTTCTTCTTCCCTCTTCCCTTCCTCCTCCCTCCTCCTCCTCCTCGTCCTCCTTCATCTTCCACTCCTGCTACAGCGTCTCGCCACCCCACCCCCGCCTCCGCCCTTCGTCCGTCACAGGGTCCCCCTCCCTCCCTCCCTCTCTCTCCTCCCCCCTTCTTCTCCCTTCTTCTCCCTCCCTCCCTCTCCTCTTCCCCCTCCCCCCTCCCCCTCCTTCTCGAGCGGACACTAGTCAGTCCGTCACACATTTTGAAGGATTCTGGGACTCTCACTGCCACAAGCTAAAGGATAGGTAGATTTAAGAATAAAGGAGGAAGAAGCGAATGTGAGGGGAGGGGGGAATAAGTAAAGATATTAACGTTGGATGTAAAGAAAAAGAAAGAAAGAAAAGAAGATGAAAGAAAGAAAGAAAAAAAGATACGCTGCATGTTTTTTTCTTTTTTTTTTTTTTTCTTTTCTTTTTTTTTTTTCCTGATCGGAGGGCAGCGTAAGGGGGCTGTGACGTGTTAGCGTAAAGGGGTTAGAGGGAGAGTGGGCGTGTTTTGGGGCGGGCGGGTGAGGAGGAAGGGAGAGAGAGAAGGGGTAGTAGGTACCTCCTGCCTCGGCTTGATGCCAAATGGGCGTTCCAGCAGCCCACCACCGCCCGTATACGCCCATCTACATGCCCACCTGTCCGCTTGCCCGCCCGCACGCCCGCACGCCCGCGAGGTCCTGTAGCTGTCGAGGAGGCTCCCCTTTTTCTCTTTGTCCGTATCCGTGTCTGTGTCTGTGTCTTTGTCTTCGTCTTAGAACGCCTTCTCGACAGGGGGGGGGGGGGACGCCGACCCCCGCCTAGCCCTGGCTCAACTGTCTCTGGGATGCTGCCGGCGGGACGAAGATCTCTGTTGGGTTTTAAATCGGGTCTTTTATGATGACTATTCTGTTGTTGTTTTTTTTTTAAAAGAGAGAGAATTGACGAGATGTCACGTTGTTCATTGATGGATTCGTAAAGTTTTTTTTTTTTTTTTTCTCTCTTTTTTTTTCCCGCAAGGAGAGGTACTTCCCGGTTTGGGTGTATTTTCTCTCTCTCTCCCTTTTACAAAAAAGAAAAAAAGAAAAAATACTGATTCTTTCGAGAGCTAAAGTGTATTTTTGGTAAGTGTGGATATCAGGAATATGGTGTGTGATGTAAATAATGTACAATCTCCTTTGTTATCGCTATAAGGTTGAAAGTCTTAGCCGGAGGAAGGGTGTGATGACCCTACCGGGCGCGCTGCCGAGTTGTTGTGTCCAATGGTCGATTGGATAGGTTTTTTTAAATAAAAATAGAAAAACAAAACAAAACAAACAAACACTTTTTATGAACGTTATTTAGCCGTTAGTTTTAAAACATCGGTAATGATAAATGTTATCTTTTTATGTTGCTCAGTCGATTTACCTTTTTGGGCTCGTTTTCCCGCCCGAATTTGAAAGAAAAACAACAACAAAAAGTGTGCTCTGGCGCCTTCCCTCTGCGGCTCCCGACGATCCATTGTAAAAAAAAAAAAATAAATAAAACCTATTTTCGACAAGGTTCAGCATTTTTTAGCGCATGTATATGACTGTATATTTTATTTGTCTTTTCTTCCACTTCTTGTTATTCCTATTCTTCACCAATTTTTTTTTTCCCCTATTCCGGGATTATTTTTAAATCGCACGCTATCTTATAATAAAAAAAAGAGGGTTCGTTTTTAAGAAAACCCTCTCTTAAAAGAATGATAATAATTAAAAAAAAAAAAATATAAAAACAAAAGACCATTTTTTTTTTTTACTTTTTTTTCTTCGGGGGGGAGGGGGGGGGGGGGAGGGGGAGGCATACACACTCGAGGTCAAATTTTTTATTTTTGTAGAGCATTTGCATAATAGGCCGATCGAGGGAGCCCGGGAGAGGGAGCCGCTCCCGCAGGGGGGGCGTGTCCTGGCAGTCCACGAGGAGAGTTTCTTTATATTCATAATGTCGCCCGTTAATAAAGAATGGTTATATCGTTCTCTGTGTTTGATTCCGGTGGTCCTAGCGTTTTGTTATCATTATTATTATTATTTGTGTGTGTGTGTGTGTAGATGTTCTCTGCAAGTTTTCTTTTTCTTTCTTTTCTTCTTTTTTTTTTTTCTTCTTCATCTTCATCTTCTTTTTTTCTTCTTCTTCATAGAGAGAGTGAAGAGTGTGTGTGTGTGTGTGTGTGTGTGTGTGTGTGTGTGTGTGTGTGTGTGTGTGTGTGTGTGTGTGTGTGTGTGTGTGTGTGTGTGTGTAGATTTTTCTCTGCAAGCGTTTTTTTTTTTTTTTTTTTTTTTGAGAATGGAGGGAGGGAGAGAGAGAGAGAGAGAGAGAGAGAGAGAGAGAGAGAGAGAGAGAGAGAGAGAGAGAGAGAATGTAGAGAAAAGACGTGTGTGTGTGTGCGTTTGTATTTACAAAGAGGAGGGAGAGAGAGGTTTGCAGAAGGAATGAATGAGCGACAAACTGATAAAGACTAAGAGAACAAGTGAGAAAGAGAAAGAGGGAAAAGGAAAAGACGAAAAAAGTACTAGAGAAAACGGAATAGAAAAAAGAATGGGAAGACAAAAAAAGATAGCTAGAGAAAGGAAAATCTGAATAAAAAGGAGAGAAAGGGAAAGAAGAAAGAAAAAGGGAAAAGACAAAAACAACTAGAGAAAGGGAAATTAGAAATAAAAAAAGGAATTGGAAAAACAAAAGAACTAGAGAAAGAGAAAAGGAAAGATGAACTAGAGAAAGAGAAAAGGAAAGATGAACTAGAGAAAGAGAAAAGGAAAGATGAAAAGAAGGAAAATAAAAGGAGAAGAGAAAGAAGGAAAGTAAAAAAAAAAACAAAACAACTAGAGAAAGGAAACCAAGAGCAGAAAATAACAAAACAAAAGAGAGAAATAGAGATTAGGAGGAGAGATCGGAGCACAGCGGGAGAGAAATGCAACGAGCCGGATTCTCGAGCATGACGGCCAGCTGATGCACCTGGCTACCTGGCTGGTCACGGTCAGGTCG